GACAGTATGTGTTTCATTCAATCCCTCCCTTCCTTTACCTGTGTTACAATGGATCCCCCTCATTCCATCTTAACTCTAGGCAGGTAGAATTACAGACATGCACTCTACACATGGCTCACATTTGCTGCTGATGGATGTGGATTTATGGTTGTGGAACATAGAAAGTGGTACAGGAAATTTTTTTCTACAGATTATAGGATCATGCCTATAATTCTAGCACAGTGACATGCTTTCTCCAAAAAGGGGGTGGTGGTAGAGTTTTTTCCAGCTTGAGTTTTTGAGTTTTTCTCAAATTGGTGAATATGCTATTGGTGCTGTTTGGGGAAATGAGATTTGCATTTTAGAGTTAACAAGAACTAGCATTTAGAAAGGATGTTCTGGAGTTCCACATAGCTGCTGTTGTTTTTTCTGTTTGTTGGTTGAACAGAAGGAAGTCTAAAAGTTACTGGCTGTGTTTTAAGCACAGCAGTGAAACATAAGAAAGGCTTAACTCTTAAAGAAGACAAATGATAAACAGTGGAATTATCTTTAAGTTAGCAGAACTGAAGTTACATATTTTTCATATATTTAAAAAATACATATTTTTAAAAGTCTTACTCAAAAAAAATGTAACAGACTATTGTACTAAAATCAAGTATCTGCAAAATCTTCTAACCCTCTTACTGATTTTTATATTGTAATACTTATGATTTAGTGGTATATAGTAAATGCTCACTTTATATCTTTTCATTTCTTCTTTTTAAAAGCCTTCACAGGCTGCTGATGAACCTGCAGAAAAAGCTGATGAACCAATGGAACATTAAGTGATAAGGGTTATGACGACATGAGGATGAAGGGACATACACTGGTGACAATAATCTGTATTTTAAAGCAACAGCTGCAGCGTATTGGGTGGTATGTTTTAGAAATCAGTCCAGATGTGAGTTTTCTCTAAGTAACTTCACAGAAACCATATAATGGGGTGCATTTTCTTTGAAAGGATCTACATAATCATTTTCTAGGAAGTATAGGTATCTATACCAATGTTTTTATATGAAGAAAATAAGTGTCTTTGCAGTTTTAAAGACAACTGTGAAATAAAATTGTTTCACCACCTGTTGTGTCGAGTATTTGTTTTTAAGTAGTTTCAACTGTAGATGGAAGCTAATATTAAAATGGTCACTTGTCATATCTGTCAGATTATATTGTTTTTGGGTTTTTTAGTGATACAGAAAAATGCCTCTTAAAAAACACAACTTTAAGCAGTTTAATTTGCTTATGTGGACTGGCTATATTGCAAATTCATGCAGATGGTCTTAGAATACAAATTTCACGATGCATACCTGGGATTGATTCTGAAGACTACAAGCCAGGATTGGGGGTGCAGGCCTGTGTTGAGGCAGGAGTATTAGGAGTTATGGGCCATGCTCTGCTTCAGATGATGTTTGAAACCAGTCTGGGAACATAAGACTGTGTAAGTAGTAAAAAGTCACCACTTCCAAACAGAAGTGATACTGGGCTGGAGCTATATCTGAAGTTGTAGTCTGTGCTTAGTCAGTGCTCACCCTTGAGTTCAGTTAGCCTACTACCACTCCCCCTCCCCCTACCAAAGCATGTTACTAAAATGAGCAATGTTTGCATCCAACTGATAGCAACAATTATGACCCTGGCCTATGAACATCTTGGCAAAATAAACAGAAGAGACATTTTAATCTCAAGCCTTTTTACCCTCCCCCAAGTCTGGAGGTTGCCTTCTGTTCTCTTGAGCCACGTGTACTTGGTTACAACAAAACAGTTCTTAAGCTACGAAAAATGAAATTAAAGAAAGTTTGTTTTAGAGTCAAATTTTTACTGTGCTAAAGCCTGTAGGAATTTTTCCCAGTGTAACACCCATTTCTAGAGAAGAGATCTTTATGGCTAGTAACCCAGATTTTAGACCTAATTCTCCTAATCAGCTGCTTTTGGCTTTAGGTAATTCACTTAGCCCTATATTAGAGAAGTCCTTTTGAGAAATTATAGTTACAAGAAAATCTGTGACAAGTTCAAAATTCATGATCTTTAAAATTTTTTTTCAAAACTTAAAAAGTCTCAATTGCTTAAATCCTTTTATGACTTCTTGAAGGGAAAATGAAAGAAACACAAAACCCTGCTGGCTTTATTATCAATCTCTGATCATTTGTTTGTGTGATGTCAGTATGTACTGGGAATAAGCTCAGAGCACTGTCTACTAAGCTTGAGAACAGGCTATAATACCAATGGCTGTGTATGGAGTTGCATTAAATACATGCAAAACACTAAAACTTAGGGAGGGATGCTAAACTTAATAACTTGTATCTTGTACCTCTTCCTCTGAGCCTTTCTCACTTCATTGTTAAAAGATTGTGTGCTTTTTAGCTGTTTCCTAAGTACAAGCTAGAACTCAAAGATTAAAAAATGACTGAACTTAATTCTAAGGACAGTTTTAGTAGGTTTTTCCCCCCCAATATGTTTGTGGTTTTAGTCTTAAGACACTGATTTTAAATTTTTTCCCCACTTTAGATCTAGGGAAAAAATGATTTCATTAAGAGCTACTTGCTAACCTTGGTTGTGGGAGTGCATGTCTTCAATCCCAGCACTTGGGAGGCAGAGGCAAGTGGATCTCTGAGTTTGAGGCCAGCTAGGGCTACACAAAGAAACCTTGTCTGGAAAGGCAGGAGAAAAAAGCCAGTTGCTGTGCAAACAAACTGGTAACTCTAGCACTACAGGATAAAGGGCTTGCTGCTGCTGACTGGCTGCTGGTCTATATCCAGTTTCAGTGAGAGACCCCATCTCAAGGGAATAAGTCACGACAGGATGATGGAGCAGAATGCCCAAGGTCTGGCCACCTACTAATAAGTGCAAGTATGTGTACCTCATACAAAAGTTGTCCACTTAAAGGACCTTACAGAGTTGGATGTGATCCCCTTTCTGTTGTACTCAGTTTCTCGATTTAGTCTGCAGGGCAACTTAACAGTGAGATTCCTCTTGTCCTGTAACAAAGGTGTCATCTGGAATCTAAGCATCTTCACATGCAGCTCTAAAAGAGCTGGCACAGCCAAAAAGAAAAAGAAAACCAGACGTCAGAATTCATGTTCTAAGCTCTTAGTGTTTGCCCATTAAACCATTTGGAGCAAGTATCTTTAGTCCTCATTTTGTACACTTTTATAATTCTTGATATACAAAGTTTTTACATTGAAGTAATTTGTGATTTGGAAAGCATTCAAAATAATTAGTTACATGCTAGTGTAAAAAAGTCTTCAAAATACACTTCATAAGAATTGGTGAAGCTATATAAGATCTTGATACCAGTCAAGAAGCTCTGGTTTAAAATGCAAAACCATGCCCTTTGGCAGTGGCATGTTCAGGTGCAGGCCTAAAATGCTATCTTTTAAGTCTGTAGTGATTCACTAAGTCATGAAAAACCCGGAAGTTTAACATAAGGAATAGATATGATTAGTCTACACCACTGTGGCCCTAAACTGCTGAGCTTTCTCGTTGCTAAACCTAATCTCTACACCTTGGTTGGTGTCATTTCTTTCTGTCACCTCTTGGTAAGTCATGTGAGCTTGGAGAACTAATAACTGCATTTGTAATGAGTCCATGTGAAAAAAAAAACCTGAAACATGAAAAAAAAATCTTAAACGAATCTCATTCTGAGAGACTAGTGCTGAGTAAAGAAGGCTCATCTCAATGATTCCATTGTATGATTCCATTTATATGTTAGACTGGATAGATAGGTGTTAAAGTGGGCACCTGGCTTTGACAGCTGGTGTGCAGCAGGAAGGATCTCTGGTGGAACTCTTCTATATCTGACTGTTGGTCATCAGACAAAACTGAATGTGTTTAGGAGCAAGTACATAAGTGAGATTCTATGAACTGGAGAAGTCTCAGTAAGGGGACATGTCAGATTCCTGCAGGACTTCCCAAGACAGAAGAACTAGGCAAAGACTAGAGAACTTGACAGAGTCATGTTGTCTGACAAGTACCTAGATTAAAAACATGTTTTAAAATGCACAAGCCAGATGTGAAAGCATTTGCTTGTAATCCCAGCACTTGGGAGGCTAGGTACAAGAGAAGTAGATTGAGAGTTGAAGGCCAGCCTGGACAGTAAGACTGTCTAAAATCAAAAATTCAGAAAGGCAGCTCTTCTAAATGCTGGAAATATTTAGCCTCTTTGCTATATTTTGAGATCTGAGGGATTTGGTTTTTTAACTCAATGTTTCCAGAAAAATCAGTTGTCAGAATAACTGCATTCCAGGTAGATGAGAAAACAATTTGTATCCTATGTCCCTCAAGTGAGGTTAGCAGGTTTTGTATACAGAGTATGTATCCATGTGGTACACACCTGTAACTCCAACTTCTCAGGAACTGAAGACTACCTTTCAAGATCAGTCTGGCAATTTGAGAAGACACTTGAGGGTTTCAAATATTTTGTTATTAATAATTGACCAGGACATTGGGATAAGATATAGAACTACAAATGAACAAAATCTAATGTGCTATGGTCAAGTATAGCTGTAACTAGTCAGTCTTCAAAGACAAGAAAAATCCTTTGATGCTGACTCTCCCTTTATGCATAAAAAATTTTAATGTGTTGTATGCTCTGAAAGATAGCAAGAGGCCATTCTTGAATAAAGAGTTGAAATGATAGTTGTCAGACAACTTTGGATATACTCCAGTAACTCCAGGTCAACTGAATAAAGTCAGATTCAGATCACCAGAGGTGTTAAGCCTTCAAATGTATTTTGATATAACCTAGCCGTCTTATTAAAATATCTAAAATCATCTGCCTAAGAATTGGTTGAGTTTCCAATTTGTAAGTGAGAGGAAGGTCTGCTGGACTTCCTGTTTCTCTTTTGTACAAGTTTTTAGTTCCTGGGAAGACAATTTCTAAGGAACTGCTAACTGACCAAAGCGCTTAAGTCAGCTCCTAACTCACAGGAGAAATTAAAATACTTGCTCACACTGCTGCAGAAACCAACCCTGAGAGAGGAAGAAGACAGCACACACTTTCAGGGCGCAGCTACAGGACGAAAGAGGCTTGTCCTCTCTGGGTCTCCGTACAGGCTCTGTAGCTACATCCTTGCTGGTCTCCCCGCCCCCTTCCACGTCAGCCAAGGACTCGGTGGAGCCGTCGCGGCAGCGGCTTCTGGACCGGTAGTCGACAGTCCCACGGTTCCTTCCCGGCCCCCGCCCCTCGGAGCCAGGTAGCGGCCAGGGCCCCGAGCCTCGGGGTTGCGGCGGCCGCGCAGAGTCGGCGAGCCCCCGGATGGGGAGATGCCGGGCGCTTAACTAGGCCGCGGCGACGGGCGGTGGGGGCGGGGAGCTGGGCCGCGGCTCCCGGGGCCGTGGGACCTGGGTCTACGCCGCCTGGGGTCTGGCACTGCGTGGAAGGAGGCCGGGGAGGGGCGGCCGAGGCTCACCCACCGGGAACCTGCCACGGCGGAGGAGCCCTAAGGTTCTGCAGTGTCTTCGCTCGCGGGCCGCCCTCCTGGAGCAGATCCGACTGTGTTATGTTGGCAATCACGGTCCCGTGACGTGGTGCTCCGGGTTGTCACTGTGGTGTGGACCTCGGCTCCACCGCTTTCCACACCCTGGGCCGGGGAGTGGACGGGTACGGGGACTGAGTGATTGTCACTAGAGTTGATAGAGGGAGAAGGTGGAGAGAGCTCTATAGATCGACATCCTCAGAAGCCACAGGGAAAGAACTTCAGGCAGTATAAAGATCACGACTGATTTGTGGAATTTGTCTCTTTTTTTCTAATGATACTCGTATTCATTTTTGTAGATTTTCCTGGCACCTTTCGTCCTTTTTCATCTTGTATTGGGTTGAATATAAACAGAAACAATGACGGCAGCTGAGAACGTGTGCTATACGTTAATTAACGTGCCAATGGATTCAGAACCCCCTTCTGAAATCAGCTTAAAAAATGACCTGGGTAAATAGTTTCTTAACTCAAATAGGAATTCTTTTAATTGATAGATTAAGAACGTAAAAATTGGACAAATTAATGTGATGTTTTTAATACATATCTATATTTTCTAATATTTAAATCCTGTCAAATATAATTGTCTCAAACATTCATCTTTTCTTTATACTGAAAGCATTTCACATCCTTTCATCGAGATTTTTTTAAAAATATAGTATATAGCTATTAATTGTAGTATACAGTGTCATACCAGAACTTTTTATCTTACACTCAGTAGCTATTGATCAGCCTTTCCCAGCTTTCCTTCCTTCCTTCTTACTCTCCTCCTAGGCTCTGTGAGCCACAATTCTTTTTTTTTTTTTTCCTTCTTGAATAAGGCCTTACTCTTTAACCAGGCTGGCCTGGAACTCACTAATAGGCCAGGGCAGCCTCAAACTTATATCTGTTCTCTTAATTCAGCCTCCCAAGGGCTGAGATTACAGGTACAGGCCACTGATCACCTTTTATTTTCAGCTTCTATGATGATAAAAGTTAATACTTCTTAAAATGTTTGTACTCTTAATTTCACCTGAGGAAGTTTCTTATTTATTACGTGTGTGCACAAATATGTGCTAGCCATGTATGCGTGCTGTCTGTTTATGTGAGGCCAGAGGTAAACCTTCCTCAGTCACATTCCACCTTACCTGTTTTCTTAGACTTTTGGTTTTTATGGGCTTTATTCTTAATTATGTATATGAGGAGGTGCCCATGTGTGTGAATGCTCAGCCCAGAGGTGTAGTTTCCTCCTTGGAACTGGAGTTGCAGGCAGTTATGAGCCACCCGATGTGGGTCTCTGCAAGACCATTATGTGCTATTAGCCACTAAGCTGTTTCCAGTTCCCTGTCTTATTCTTTAATATTTATATAGTGGGAAGTGGGGAGACAAACATGCATAGCACTGGTGTAGCAATCAGAGGACTTCTTGTAGGTGTCAGCTCTCTCCTACCATGTGGGCTTTAGGCATTGGACTCAGGTGGTCAAGCTTGGCCACAAGTGCCTTCTACCTACCAAGCATGCACAGTGATTCCCTTCACACTCTTTTTAGACATAGGATCTCTCACTGGCCCTGAAGCTTGCTGATTTAGCTAGACTAGCTGGCCAGCAAGTCCTTGTCATCCTCTTGGGTCCATCTCCCCAGTGCTAAGGTTATAGGCATGTGCTGTGTGTGACTTTTACATGGGTGCTAGAGAATGAACTCAGATCATTCTCAAGTGGCCAGCACTTCACTTACTGAGCCATCTCTCCAGCCCTCCAAACAACAATTTTTTTTTTTTTTTTTTTTTTGGTTTGGTTTTTGAGTCAGGGTTTCTCTATCTAACAGCCCTGGCTCTCCTGGAGCTCACATTGCTGACCTTGAATTCAGAGATCCACCAGCCTCCTTAGTGCTGGGATTAAAGATGTGCACCACTATCCCCTGTGGAAAGATCACTTTTTAAATCATACATTATGAGTATACAATTCAATCACAGACTAATTCGATAATTTCACTAAGGAATGACCATAGGAAAACATTAAAACTCTACTTCCCATAATTAAACCAAAAAACTTGTAAGTATAGTAAAAACATTGCAGCTTATAACAATAGTTTGAGATCTGACCTGAGGTGCTTCGGACAACATTATTTGGTGTTATGTGTTATAAGGGCGTGTCTGGTGTAATGTAAACATGTTGTGTACTCAAAACTAAGACTACAGTGAAGTCATATAGTGCAGCACAAGCAAATGCTACCAGAAGTACTGGATTCACTAAATGATTTTCAATTGTGTATAGTGTGTATGTGTGTTTAGAAACTTTTCACTGATGCCAAATTTTACGTTCAGTTGTGCTACCCCAAATTGAGTTATGACTCACAGTTTCAGAAGCTAGGATCAGGGGCTGGAATGATGGCTCAGCAGTTAAGAGCACAAGCTGGTCTTCCAGAGGACCAGGGTTTAGTCCCTAGCACCCACATGGCTGCTTACAAACTGTAATTCTGGTTCCAGTGGATATGATGCCCTCTTCTGGTCTCCACGAGCACTACATGCATATTATCCAGAGCCTTACATTCTTGGAGGAACACCCATACACACAAAATATAAAATAATTTTTAAAGAAAGAAAGGAGGAGCTGGGATTAGGCCAGGAAGATGGCTCAGAAAGTGGAAACCTTTGCCACCCAAGCCTGACAACCTGAGTTAGATCTCTGGAACACATGATGGAAGAGAAACAAACTTAGCCTGAAAGTTGACCTCCATGTGCATGCTGTAGCATATGTGCCCACGCTCACATACACATGTGAGTACAACAGTAGTTAAATTTTAAAAAGACAACTGGAATCCAAGTAAACGTTGACAGTTTATAGTGAAAATTGAGAAATCAAGAGACTCATTTATATTTCACGTTCACTTATAGTTAAAAGTGCTTATTTTTTTCTAAATAAATATCTAAATATCTTTTGCTAAATATCTTTTTGTAAGTTGTGTGTGCTTGTCTCAGGATATGTGCATATTAGTGCAGGTCCTCTGGCATAAGAAGAGAGTGTGTCTAATCCCTTAGAGCTGGAGTTTTTGGTGGTTGTGCCCTGATTGATAGATGTGGGTGTTAGGAACTGAACCCAGGACTTCTTTAAGAGCCCTCAACTACTGAGCCATTGATCTCCAGGCCCCGTCTAGAATTTTTGAGAATGTCTTTAGTAGGCTTTTTGTCATATGAAAAAGGAAATTTTTTCCCTTTAGACTTGTAGTATTGGTTTACAGAAATAGGATAATAGCCTAGTCTAATAAAACTAAAGAAATAAAATCATTTAATTACTTGTTCTTCAAAATATTGTAATTTCTTACATAGTTTAATATATGATACTTAAATATAGCTGACAGTTTTCTGTAGGTAATAGTTGGTATAAACAAACAAATGAAGTTAATACTAAATTAAACATAAGCATTCCCTACATGTTTATATTTTCATTTTGAAAACATTTTTGCAAAAGAAACAGACATACGTTTTGAAGTTTGAAAATTCATGCTCTACTCCTTTAAAGTATATACAGGCCATTCCTAGTGATATGTACGTGTAGTTCCAGCTGCTCAGAAGGCTGAAACAGTAGGTCACGTTTTTTAAAACTCATCTGGGGAGCTTAAGACCCTGTCGTGGTTAAGTGATAGGGGCTGTGGGCATTGTTAAATATATAGCACTTGCCAAGCACTCAGGAGGCTCCGAATTCAGTACACAGTGCTAAAAAGGAAAGATGTGCTGTTTGATTTTAGAGTATGGGGTTGAGGACAGGTCTTACTGTATAGCCCTGCCTAGAGCTGACCTTGAACTGAAGATTGACCTGTTCTAACTTCTCATGTGCTAAGATACTAGGTGTCTGCTACCATGTGGTATAGCTATAGGTTCAGGGATTCTCAGTTGGTTATTGACCAGAAGTCTAGTCCAGTATTTTCAGATCGTATATAAGGTATCTGAGATTCAGAGACAAAATAGTCACAAATAATGTTGTTTGGATTTTTAACCTTGTTACCACAGCTGATAGTAAATTTAGTTTGTTTTGTTCATAGCTTTTTAAATTATCTGAGGAACTTACTTTTGAAGTAATTGTGCTTTTTTATTTTTATTATTATTATTACTGAATCAGAAAAAGGTGATGTGAAGTCAAAGACTGAAGCTTTGAAGAAAGTGATCATTATGATTCTGAACGGGGAAAAGCTTCCCGGACTCCTGATGACGATCATTCGTTTTGTGCTGCCTCTTCAGGATCACACCATCAAAAAGTTGCTTCTGGTCTTCTGGGAGATTGTTCCTAAAACAACTCCAGATGGGAGGCTCTTACATGAAATGATTCTTGTGTGTGATGCATACAGAAAGGTAAACCAAACCATAACTGTTCGATTTGTTTATTTATAATTATAAAATTGCTGTAATGGATACTATTAGTTTTCAAAATTAAATGATTGATGAAATGAAAAATTATAAATATTTATTATTGAAGTTGTAAACTCAAAAATGTGTTTAACCTATGGCCTTTAGGCTTAGACTGCCTGAGGCTGGGGCTGGCTGTTAATGCTGCCCAAATCTAACTTTAATTTTTTTTAAATTAGAAAGTTTTACATTTAAAACTTGACTTTTATAAAAAGCTAAAACTTAAGCCTGTGAGATGACTCAGCAGGTAAAGTGAGTTTGACGCCCAGGACCCACTGGTTTCTGCAAGTTGTCCTCTGACCTCTAGTGTGTGTGTGAATGAACACACATACACACATGAATAAATAAATGTAGGGTTTTTAAAGCTGAAACTCAGCGTTTCTTCCTGTCATTTTTATGTCAGGATCTCCAGCATCCTAATGAGTTTATTCGTGGGTCTACTCTTCGTTTCCTCTGCAAGTTGAAGGAGGCAGAGCTGCTGGAGCCGTTGATGCCTGCTATCCGTGCCTGTCTGGAGCACCGTCACAGCTATGTCAGGAGAAATGCTGTTCTGGCCATCTATACCATCTACAGGTGAGGGAGGATACTCCTTTGCTTTATTTCTGTTTTCAATGCTTTAGATTAGTGGTTCCAGTGTGATTGGTTACGGAATGTATGTACTTGTAAATATGTTTTACTAATCAATACAGTGGGTTTCTTTTTTTCCTCTTACTGTCATTCAGTTGTTACCATGGAGAAGTCAAAAAGATCTGGCATCAGTAGTCCCTAGTTTCTGCATGACAACAGTCAGCTTGAGTGGCACAGTGCCACTTAATGTTATTGTATGCTTTCTAGTTTAAGACTATAACCATTATTCCTAATCGTATTGCTGCAGTTCACTTAGTTCATTTATTCACCTTGCTAAAGGCATTGCATTTTTTTACCTTGTTTAAAATTCTTGTTTTGAACAGTGTGGGTCTTGTCTTGGAGGCTTTGAAGAAGGACACTTTTACTGAAAAGAGCTGTGATTCTTAACTGATTCTTGTTATTATAACAGTTGAAAATTTGCCTGGACCAGTGGTGTGTCCTCAAGTCCAGCTTTTAGGGAGACTAAGTCCAGAGGATAATGGGTTTGAGGCCAGTCTGAGCAACTTAGTGAGTCTCTAAATAGAAAAGGGTTGGAGACATAGCCCAGTAAGTGTTTGTTTTGCAAGACCATGGCTTTGGGACAGTCATTAGAGTAAAATAATAAAGCTGAAGAGGTTGAACTTTAAAACAATTGTAAAATTCAAAGGAGACTAGATTACTAAATTGTTAAAGTCATGGCTGTCAGTCCATTTAGATTATGGGGCAGTGATGGATAGAGCTCAGTAGCACAGTCCTTTCTAGAACGTGTGAGCATGGTCCTGGATTGGATTCCTAGCACTGCCACTTTAACTAGGATATATATTATTTTGTCTCTGTGCACATCTGTAAATGTGCATGTTTATATGAGTGTGTGTGTGCTCAGGCCAGAGAACGTTCGATATTGTTCCTCAGGCACCATCAGCCTTTCACTTTGACATGAGGTCTCATTGTCGAGGAACTCACCAAATATCTAGGTTAGCCGACCAGAGAGCCCCAGGTATCTTCTTATCTTCATCTTCTCAGCACTAGGATTAACCAGGCTGACATTGAACTCACAGAGATCCACATGCCTCTGCCTCCTGAATGATGGAATTAAAGGCATGTTCCATCACACCCAACTTGGCTTTTTTTTTCCGAAAGATTCATTAATTTATCTTATATATGAGTGCTCTGTGCTGTGTCTTCATGAATACCAGGAAAGGGGATCAGATCCCATTACAGACGGTTGTGAGCCACCATGTGGTTGCTGGGAATTGAACTGAGGACCTCTGAAAGAGCAGTCAGTGCCCTTAACTGCTGAGCCATCTCTTTGTCCCCTCCACCCCCTTTTTTCACATAAGTTCTAGGGATAGAAAGAACTTAGGTCTGCGAGTACTTTTCCAGCTAATTTATCTCTTCAGCTCCTGAAATATTTTTATAAACATCTTTGTTTTTTAATATGTTACTTGGCTGAAACACAATTTTGTTTATTTTAATGTTATGCTATATGTTGACAGAAGTGATATTTTGTTGATAATGTATTGAATTCTTGACTGTTGCCATAGGCACTGTATATATGTCAGAACTTTAAAGGACACACAAAAATGGGAACAGGTATAAGACAACTGAAAATTTGAACAGTAAGAATTTTTAAGAATTTTTGGAACTATGATAACAAATTTTGATATAGATTTTATTATATATCCCTTCTTTAAATGATTGTTTTGTTTTATGTATATGGATGGGTGTTCCTTTGCCTCCATGTATGTATGTTTGCCACTTAAGTGCCTAATGCTCAAGAAAGCCAGCAGAGGGCTTCAGATACATTAGAAGTGGAGTTAGAGCAGTTAGGAGCCATCATGTGCCTGAGAATAGACTCCATGTCCTGGAAGAGCAGCCCGTTCTCTTAACCACTGGATTTTCTCTCCTGCTCCTGTAGATCCTTCTTTATTCTAATATTTATCATTCTATGTACTATAAATACTTTACGTTTCTAAAATAGTGTTGTTAGTAAATACGCTGCACAGATAATGAAAACAGATTCTTTTGTTCCCTATTTTTTTTCTTTTTTTTTTTATTGGATATTTTCTTTATTTACATTTCAAATGTTACCCCTTTCCCAGTCCTCCCCCTGACCCGGAAACCCTGTATCCCATCCCCCTCCCTCGTCTATGAGGGTGTTCCCCCACCCACCCACCCACTCCTGCCTCCCTACCCTCAAATTCTCCTACCCCTATATACTTATTAAGAAAGGTTGTAATGTTGTAAAATTGACACTGTGTTAATAGATGAAGTTTTAACCTACGGTTTCTTCTCCTGCTTCTAATTGATGTACAATTCCAAAACAGAAAAGTATTGTTACAGAGTTTAAGTTTAAATGTTGTTAATGTCTAGAAAGCAACTGAAATGTGAAAGTGAGCATTTATTTAATATGGATGTTACCTGTTTTGTTTAAAGAAATTTTGAACATCTTATACCTGATGCTCCTGAGCTGATACATGATTTTCTGGTAAATGAGAAGGATGCAAGCTGCAAAAGAAATGCATTTATGATGCTGATTCATGCAGACCAGGTACAGCGCCCTCAAATACTTCCTTACTGTAGTTAACAAAAGTTAAAACTCGGTCCTCCGCATGGTTTCTTTATTGTTTTGGTCTGTTTGTTTTGTTTTGTTTTGGGACAGGATCTCACTATGTAGCTCTGGCTGTCCTAGAACTCACTACATAGATCAGGCTGACCTTGAGCTCACAGAAATCCATTTACCTTCGACTCCCACGAGTGTGCCATTAAGCCTAGCCTCAGCAGATAATGTGTTTTTAATTAGTAGGTTGATTTGGAGTACCTATGGTTTGAGGTCTATAGAGTAATGTCCAGGTTAGCCAAGGCTACACAGAGAAACCCTGTCTTGAAAAATAAAGAAGTATTGATAGTTCTTTGTATACATTGACCGAGCATGAGGATGCCTAGGTGTTTTTTTTTTTTTTTTTTTTTTTAGGTTTCAGTAATAAAAAATACAGCTATACTCTATTCACTTTGAGATTTTGAGACAGAATCTCCCTATGTAGCCCTGCTGACTTAGAACTTGGTAGATCAGGTTGGCCTCAAATTCGTAGTGATCCTCGTGCCTCTGCTTCCCAGGTGCTGGGGTTACAGGTATATGCCAGTATACCTGATTTAGAAATAACATGTTTAAACAGCTGCTTTATTTCAATTACATGAATACTCTGAATCATATAGGACTTAGGACTTTTTCCTTTGGCTTGCCAGTTAAGAAAAATTCAGACTACACATATGTATCCAATTCTAGGAAATGTTTTGATTTCCTGATATACATTTATTTAGCTTCTTCCTTAATTTCTTTCACTCTTTTCCCTCAGTTAATTCTTTTTTGCCTCAGTTTCTTCATTAGTTTTATATTTGGGGAAATTGTGTGTGTGTGTGTGTGTGTGTGTGTGTGTGTGTGTGTGTGTGTGTTGTGTTGTCTTAATTCATTACACCAAATGAGAAGTATGGTAAATATACTCTTATTTTTTTAGGATCGAGCTTTGGATTATTTAAGTACATGTATTGATCAAGTTCAGACATTTGGAGACATTCTACAGTTGGTTATTGTTGAACTGATTTATAAGGTAAGAATGATAAAAATTTATAAGGTAAGAATGATACAAAAAATCCAGGCTAGCTAAAGCAATTCTATACAATAAAAGAACTTCTGGGGGTATCACCATTCCTGATTTCAAGCTGTAGTACAGAGGTATAGTAATAAATACCAAGTGGTTTTGGCATAAAAACAGACCTGTTGATCAGTGAATCAAAGACCCAGACATAAATCCACATACCTATGGATACCTGATTTTTAAAAAAGAAACCAGTAATATATAATGAAAAAAGAAAGCATCTTCAACAAATGGTGCTGGTCTAACTGGATGTCTGCATGTAGAAAATGCAATAGATGCATATCTTTCACCCTGTACAAAACTCAAGTACATGTGGATCAAAGACCTCAACACAAAACCACATACAATGATCCTGATAGAAGAGAAAGTGGAGAATATTCTTGAATGTGTTGGCACAGGAGACAACTTCCTGAACAGAACACTAGTAGTGCAGGCACTAAGATCAGCAATTAATAAATGGAACCTCAAGAAACTGAAAAGTTTCTTAAGGCAAAGGACAATCAAAAGACAAAAGGGTAGCCTACATAATGGGAAAAGAACTTCACCAATTCCACATCTGGCAGGCCTGCTGTTTTCTAAGGGGGAGATGGAGGGGGTGGATCTGGGGGAGAGGGAAAGTGGGAGGGAGAGACTGTGGGGAGAGGAGAGGGGGGAAGTACAGTCAGGATTAACATGAGAGAAGAATAAAAATTTCTTAAAAAGAATGATAATTTATGATATGTAAATTGGCAATTTAAGACAAAAGTAAATGGTCTTATTCTGGAATATTCCTCAACTGGTATGTTAATTTTTTAACTTGATATTTTATATATTTATTGTGAGCTGGTGGCATGCCTCAGGAGAGCTTTTGAGGGTCACTTCTCTCCTTCCACGGTGTAGGTCCCAGAGATAGATAGAACTCAGAATATCAGGCTTCATGGCAAGTGCCTTAACCCACCTGGTCATCTCACCAATCCCAATAATAATGCTTTCATAGTAGAGATATTATTAAATATCTTAATTTATGCCTGCTTAAATCCTTTTTTCTTTAATACTTTTAATGTGTTTTCCAAGTACTTTCTTCTATTCTTTTTAAAACTCTATAATAAATAGTCAGTATAGCTCAAACAACTCATTGTGTACTGCCCAGTCATTAAGTGGATTATGAATCAGGCTTTGGAATAAAATGCAAAATTTTTTATTATACATCACACTGTTTTGAAAAACTAAAAATTAATGAACTTTATAAGTGTTTGATTTTTAAAGCATGATTAGATGGGGCTGGTAAGGTGGATCAGTGGGCAAAGGTGCTCAGGGCAGAAGCCTGATATTCTGAGTCTCATACCCAGGACCCACATAAAGGTGGAAGAAGAGAGCTAAGAGAGCTACCATCCAACCACCACACGTGTATGTACAACCCTTTGCTCCCCCCATGTCATAGACACAGATATACTATAATTTAAAAGTGAAGCAAAGGGCTGAAGAGATGGCTCAGTGGTTAAAAACACTGACTGCTCTTCCAGAGGTCCTGAGTTCAATTCCCAGCAACCACATGGTGGCTCACAACCATCTGTAATAGAATCTGATGCCTCTTCTGCTGTGTCTGAAGACAGTTACAGTGTACTCATATACATAAAATAAATAAATCTAAAAAATTTTTTTAAAGTGAGGCAAAATGGAAAATACCTCATCATGCTTCAGAAACATTTGTGAGTGTTGCAGTTTTAAGGCTTGTGGCAACCTTATGATGAGCAAATCCGTCAGTACTATTTTTCCAATGATATTGTCAGTGTTTTACAACAATATTGACTAACTAATAACCCTTAAACAGCTTCTGAGTTAAATGGAAGAAAAAGTACATACCTCTCTCACTGTGATTCATATACTATAAAAAATTAAACATTAAACTTGGTGCTATGGTTTGGATACTGTTTGAGTGTGCCCTCAAAAGTCTTGAATCTCAGTGTGTCAATATACAGGTGTGTTAGTACATAAAAGGTAAAGCCTAGTAGGAAGTTATTGGTGTACACTGCTTCCAAAAGATAAGTAATACCCTTTAAACCTTGAGATAGTTCTCAGAGGACACTGTGGGAAGAGCAAGCCCTGGGGCCTGAGCCGAAGCTCATTAGTAGAACACTGTCTGGTACACACAGGCCTGACTCACACCTGCACTTAGTACGGTTAAAGCTGGGGGAGGGTCAGCACTTTATCGTCAGCACTTTTGCTGTTGGGATTTTGTGGAGGTTGGAGAGCGAGGTCTTAGCTATGCAACTCAGACTAGCCCTGAACTCCCGGACTCAGCTATCCTCCTACAGTGACTGCACTTTAGTTTGCAATATCTTTTGAAAGAGCTGATTGTCATCATGTTCTGATAAACAAAATGTAAATATCATTCAGATTGTTCTCATAATCACAGTCCTCTTTCCTGTACTTTCTGAGTTCTGGGACTAAAGGTGTCCACTACTACTCTCAGTGTGTTGTCTTCTTTGGCTTGGCATCCAGACTAAAAATTTAGGTGATATGTACTAGTCTATCAGGACATTTATATTAGTACATTAGAACGTGTTCTAGCTTTTCTTGCTTTGATTTTTCTTTCACATTTTCAAAATACTCATGTCTTTTATAAGCCGACTGAGAACTTGTGAAACAATGAAAGTGTAAATTATGATAAAACAGATAAATGCACAAGTGGCTATGACAGTTACTTGAGTTTGCTTTTTAATTTTTGTATGTGTGCATGCACATGTCATGGCATAACTATGGAGGTTAAAGAACTTTGTGGAGTAGATGGTTTCCCTTTACTTTTGTATGGGTTCCAGGGCTCACTCATGTTACCAGCTTGCTCTACAAATACCTTTACTTTTGGAGCCATCTAGCCAGCTCCTGTGATAGTTGTTTGAAATACAACATTTCTTTCTGAAACTATCAGTGTTTATTACATCTCACTCAGTATTGGCTGGGTTTTTTTATGTATCTTTGAAATATTCTTATCTTTTTTATTGTAGTTTATTTATTATTTATTGAGGCAGTGTCTCCTTATGTAACCCTAGTTGGCCTGGAATTTGACAGAGATCTGCCTGTCTCTTCCTGAAGGCTGAGATTAAAGGTGAGAGTCACCATGCATTAAAAAATTCCAGCTGGAGCCAGGCAGTGGTGGTGCATACATTTGATCCAAGCATTCAGGAGACAGAGGCAGGGGGATCTCTGTGAGTTTGAGGCCAGCCTGGTCTACAAAGTGAGCTCCAGGACAGCTAAAGCTGTTACACAGAGAAATCCTGTCTCAGAAAGCCAAAAACAAACAAACAAACAAAAAAACATCTGAAAGTAATTATAAAGGCTGGGATTGTGGCCTCCTATGTGTATATAATGTTCTTGAAATCAGCTGAATCCTAAATGTTCTCTTTTCCAGGTCTGTCACGCTAATCCATCAGAAAGGGCCCGTTTCATTCGCTGTATCTATAACTTACTGCAGTCATCGAGTCCTGCTGTAAAATACGAAGCTGCTGGGACATTGGTAACACTGTCAAGTGCACCAACTGCAATAAAGGTACTTTGGTGACACTATGATAGACATCCTGTCTTATCCCTCATGATTTAATGACACTGAAGTTATTTATATGATTACTTGCTATGCTTAACGCAGGTACATCCAACATTTGACATCATTAACAGAATATCTACAAAGTCTCACTTGAGAACCACACAGCTGAGTTAGAGGGGGAAAAATATCAATATCCCTCAACTTGGATACACACACACACACACACACACGCACACGCACACAGCTTTAAGTAAGTACAATTTTGTGCAGGGCTGCATTCATATCTACCCTTGGCCACCAAGCCACAGGCTAGACACGTGGTAGAGAGGACTACCGATTTTGTAAGATAATGTACCTTCTTACATAATTCAGCCTTTCTTTCTGCTTTCACACACTTACGGAGAAAAGAGAGAAAGATAGAGAATTACAGTATTTCTAGTTTCTAGAGAATTTTACTGATGTTTTAAGATCTCTTCATAATTATGTTAAAAATGGATCTAGAATGAATGATGACTTCTAAAAAATTTCTTTGGGGATCTTTAATAATAGATTATTGCATTTCTTTTCTTTTGTTTAGTCTATCAAGACTTTGTCACATACCACTAATATGTTCAGAGAACAATTATTCTAGAAAGCTAGCTGGCATAAATTGTTGAATTTACCGTTTTACCTGTTAATACTTAGAATACTTTATTTAGAAATAATTTTAAACTTAAAGGGAAGTCAGGAATAGGACCTCTGTCCTCTTACATTCCTCTTCTAGCATCCTGTAATCTTCATACCTTGTGTAATCATATAATTATCACAACTAAATTAACATTGAAATAATATTGTCACATAAACTAGATTTTGTTCAAATTTCTCTTCAGGTTTTCACTTAATGCCCCTTTCCTTCTTTTTTCTTTTTTCTTTTTTCAAGAAAAAAAAAAGACTCTTTTTATTAATTGAATTTTTAGCTGTGGCATTAGCCCTTTTCTGTTTGATTATCCGCTCTAGGATCCCACAGTTATCTGTCTGAGTCTCCTCTAATCCGTAAATGTTATTTTCATGCCTCATGAAGAATATGAGTTTGTTTATAAGAGATTCTGGAACATGAGTTTGTCTCATATTTTCTCATAATCAGTGAGATTAGGCATTTGGGGACGAATAGCACAAATTCTCATGTCCTCAGTACAGGATACCTGTATACCTTATTCATGATTAGTTAGGTCAACTGCTATCTCCCTGATTTCTTTACTGTTCTGATTTTTCTGGTCATATTCAAAATATATTCAAAGTACTTTGAAACTCTAGATTTCTTGTCACTCCTCAGATTTGTTTCCACTAATTTTAGCACTGATAAATGGATTTTTCTCAGCAAGAGCTATTACTAAATATTCTAAGGGTAACTTTATAGTACCTCACTGAACAGTTACTGTGGCATTCCTACATAAGGAAATACTGATTTTCTCTTTCCTACTCTTTTTCATTTATATCAATATGAATCATGTCTGTGTATCATAATCCACTGTTATCATTATTTTGTTCAAGTTGTTCCAGCTTTGACTATTGAGAACTTTTCTAGATTGGCTACTTTTTCCTTTGATTTTTTTAAACTTGATCATTCTACAAACCATTATACCTTTAAAAGTCTTATGTAAAAAGGATAATGGGGCACTAGGGATGTGGCTCAGTTGCTAAAGCACTTAATTGAGATGTGCAAGGGGTTCAGTCACCAGCCATCACCTCCTAAAAGGTTATCTTTATATTCTTGTTTTTTATCACTGTAATAAAGATATAAATATATTAAACTTTATCCCTGATGTGAAATGTGTTTAATAGTCATACTCAGATTCTCTGCCCTCTTCTGCTGTTTCCTTAGTTTCAATCCATTTGCATCTGTGGCAGCTCCTTTCCATCCTTGACTTTGTAATCCTTCCCATGCCTTGTAGTCTGGAGTATCACTGAGGCTTGTTATAATTAGGGGCCAAATATACACACTCCTCTAAATGAAATGCATTAATGCTAGTGCAGAGGTGAATGCGTTTATTTTAGCTGCTTAGTGGCCTGGCAGGGAGGACCAGTTCTTATTTTCACAATGGTTGTTTTTCCAGAATGTGTTTCTTTCTTTCTTTTTTTTAATAGGCTGCTGCTCAGTGTTACATTGATTTAATTATTAAGGAGAGTGATAACAATGTAAAGCTCATCGTCCTGGACCGATTGGTAGAATTAAAAGAGCATCCTGCTCATGAACGAGTCCTCCAGGTGAGTTCTGTTGTCCTTTATGTTCAGATCGTCCCCAAGCCTTGCCACTGTAGATAACTTAACCGAGAATCTGAAGCCTGGTGGTGTAAATTTTGGGCAACTGGGGTGTAACTCTTAAATCATCATCTCCTTTTAGGTCTTTCTACATGACATTGATTAACTAAACTGGGTTTCCTCTAAAATGTTCTTCCTCCTGGATGTGGGTGGTTACTTTGCTGTAATGTCAATGTAGCTTGTTCCTCTGACTTTTGTATTTTCCATGAAACAAGTTGGATCTAAAACTTTACAGAGTTGAAGTATATACATTGTCAGTTTGGCTGTGTTATATGTGATGTCATCACTTCATGTCTCATTACACTAGGTGACCCAGAGTATCTACTTCTTCCTACACTACTAATTCTGTTACTAATCAGAGGACTGAAGTGATGGAGGGCAAACAGCACTGTGGTGCAATTAAGATATTTTTCTCATTAAGAGAAACACTGGCGTCACTCTGTAGTTTTTTGTTTTGTTTTGTTTTCAGGATCTGGTCATGGACATCCTAAGAGTACTGAGTACACCAGACTTAGAAGTACGTAAGAAAACGCTGCAGTTAGCACTGGATCTTGTCTCATCTAGGAATGTTGAAGAGGTAAAACAGAACATTGGTGACATTGTTTGTAAGTGGTCCAGATGTGATGTAATTCTCACTTGTTTTTTTTTTTTTTTTTTACTTTTTGTCCCCCATAGTTAGTTATTGTCTTGAAGAAGGAAGTAATTAAAACAAATAACGTGTCTGAGCATGAAGACACGGACAAATACCGACAGCTTCTTGTGCGAACACTGCATTCCTGTTCAGTCCGATTTCCAGATATGGCTGCAAATGTTATTCCTGTGGTGTGTAACTCTTACTATTTTACTTGTAAGATTCCCTAGATGTTTTTATTTTTCTTTTTGAGTTATTTTATATCTACTGAAAATTGCAACCATCTGAAATTATAGCAATCTCACTGTACATTTTTCATCTTTGTGTGTATTCCTATGCTGACTAGGGTAAGAACTTAGATTTCTTTTTCTTAATCTTCATCAAAAACTTTGCTGCACACAGGACTATTGGGACTTCTGTTTATGTACTAGTGTCTATCTCAGCTTATGTTTTGTTCTATATTTTGAAAATCACTAACTTCCATTCTTTGTTCATTAATTTATTTCTGACTTTATGTAATTTTCTTTCTGGAAACTATATAACTATTTGTCCCATTTCTCTTTTTTTGTTAGCTAATGGAGTTTCTCAGTGACAATAATGAAGCAGCAGCTGCTGATGTCTTGGAGTTTGTTCGTGAAGCCATTCAGCGCTTTGACAACCTGAGAATGCTGATTGTTGAGAAGATGCTGGAAGTCTTCCATGCTATTAAGTCTGTCAAGTAAGTTTAAACTCCATTTAATGTAAAGTTGAACATTTTGTCAGTTTCTATTTTAAAAGAGTCAATTAGTAGAAAATAAGAGGAAACAAGGTATACAATGCAAAACATCATCCGCCATCATTCTCCGTTCACAGTGCATAGAATTGTTTTAGTTAGGTTTTTGTATTCTAATTACATCTAAAACATTGTGAATCACAGAATGACCAAGAAACATTTTTTAAGTGTTGTACTTAAAATCACCTTTTGAATACGTATTATTTTGTCACCCTTAGCATTTATTGAAAAGGTTTTAAAAAAAATCTGAATCTGATATGTTAGATTCCATTAGCCTTTGTTTATGAGAAAGGCTTGTTGAATACAAATTTTGCTTCATTTTTGCATTTACTGGATAAACTACAAGAGATTTGTAGTATGCCTACTTAAACAGGCTGGGACCAGTACAAGGTTGGTTCAGTAATATGAAAGTGACTGAGAGGTATCATACATACACACATACATACCCACACACACACATCTACACATATTATGATGATGTGTGTATGCATGTATAGGAAAGTAAGATTTGTCCTGTTATGAGGAAAAAAATTGTATGAAAGCTTTTCCTTTGAGAACTGAAATCTTCTGGGGCTTTAGTTTCTATGATTGATTTTATTTTTCTAAATAAATTCAGTTAAAATCTAAGTAAAGGGATAGCTAAAAATTTCATCCAGTTTAACATTTTAAAATAGAAAATTGTTGCCGGGCAGTGGTGGCGCACGCGTTTAATCCCAGCACTTGGGAGGCAGAGGCAGGCAGATTTCTGAGTTCGAGGCCAGCCTGGTCTACCAAGTGAGTTCCAGGACAGCCAGGGCTACACAGCGAAACCCTGTCTCGAAAAAAACAAACAAAAAAAAGAAAAGAAAAGAAAAGAAAATTGTTGCTATCTTTGTTAACTGTCTCAGGGTTTTTATTGCTGTATAGAGATACCATGACCACAGAAACTCTTATAATGGAAAATGTTTAAGTTTAGAGGTTTAGCCCATTATTGTCGTAGTTGGAAGCATGATGGCTTGCAGGCAGATATGGTGCTGGAGAGGTAGCTGATAGTTCTACATCTGGATCCACAGGCAACAGGAAGTGACTGTGTCACATTGGGCATAGCTTAAGCATATATGACCTCAAAGTCTGCCTCCATAGTGACTCACTTCCTTCAGCAAGGCCATACCTACTCCAACAAGGTCACACCTACTCTATCAAGGCCATAACTCATAATGGTGCCACTCCAGATGGCCAAGCATTCAAACACATGTGTCTGTCGGGCCATCCTATTCAGATTTCCCCAGTAACATTTTAGGTTGGGAATTGCATTGTTCTTGTGACAGGATACTACTGTGTAGCCTATTTATTATAGATACATGCCTACTACAGCTAGCTGTCATTGCTTACTTTCAAACCCAGCATCTTGTGTGGTTCCTAAGTAAACACTGCACCAGTGAATTGATCCCCCCAACCCCAACTAGATGTTCTTCTGTATATGTCATCCTATTCAACATTTTGTGTCTTACAGTGATTACAAATAAAAAGTGAAATGAATTTAAAAATTATGTTCAAATAATATATTCTCCCGAGTAGAAAGTGATAAAGCCAAATTTATTTTAACTATGCCCTATATGAATGCCTATGGGAAACATTTTGCTGTTTAACTTTTGCTAATTTTAGAATATGCTTAATGACAGTGAGTGCAAATAGCTATTTTCTTAGCTTCCCATTTGTTACAGTCTTTCTGAAATCTTTCTCTTCCAGAATACAAAATACAAAATCCTGTTTTCTTGCCTTACCCTAAATTCACAGAGGAATGTTTCTGCATCGAAATTTGTTCCCAGGTTTGTATTTCAGATCTTACATTCTTGTCCTAGGATTTATCGAGGAGCATTGTGGATCCTGGGAGAGTACTGCAGTACAAAGGAAGACATTCAGAGTGTGATGACTGAGGTCCGCAGGTCCCTTGGGGAGGTACGTTTGTATGATGATCTGTGCTTTAGAAAACTCTGCTGTGCTGGCAGTGCAGCTCAGTGGTTTAGAGTCTATGCCTGGCACACATGCAGCCCTGGGTTCAGGCCTAGCACAAACAAAGAAAAACAACAGTTTTTATGTAATCATTCACTTTTGTGTTTTTGTTATGTAGTGTTTGAGCTAAAGAACACTTAAAAAATTATATTTTAATTACCCAGATAGATAAACCTCAGGGGCTATAGAAAATTAAGAGTCCCTCCCCCCCTCACCCCACCTCCATGAAAACTATTAACACGTATTCAAATAATTATTTATGTGGGTAAAATTTTGTTTGAGCAGAATGTCTGTGCAGCTAGTAAAATTCTTTCTTTCTTCCTTCCTTTCTTTCTTTCTTTCTTTCTTTCTTTCTTTTTTTTTTTTTTTTTTGTTAGTTTGTTTTGTTTTTTACAAGACCAGGTTTCTCAATAGCATGGGTTATTCTGGGACTCAATTTATAGGTTAGGCTGACCTCTCTCCGCCTCCCAAGTGCTGGAGTTAGAACCACCACTGTCAGCTTTTTTTTTTTTTTTTTTTTTTTTTTTTTTGAGATAAGGTCTCACTGTGTAGCCCTGACTGGCCTGAAACTCACTATATAGACTTGACTGGCTTTGAACTCAAGGATCTACTGATGTGCCTGCCTCGCTTTGTACCACCATGCCTCGAAATCGCTGCAAACTGTGCTAATGCTGATGTGCTTTGGAAGCCTATCTCAGAGCAAGGCTAACCTGAGACAGTTTGTGTACTAGTATTGGAATATTCCTTCACCAAAGCAACTTCATGGTAGAATATAAAGAACAATGGACTACTTTGTCAGGAGACCTGGGTTCTTTGCTAATTACTGTCAAGAATCAACTCTGAGAAGTTCACTTTAAGTTCCTTAACTACCTAAACTTTTTTTCATCTCTAAAATAAAAGACATAAAATAAGTTTAATTAAAAACTCTTAGAAGAATTTTTCATACATGAGAAATTTAAGGCAACATGTTGACAAACAAGCTGTAGCAGCCCTGTGACCAACTAACAGGGTGGCTGGGGAAGTTACATAAACATTTCATTTTACAGGGGTGCGTGTTGTTTTGGTTCATAGTTCAGGGGAAGAGACAAAGAGGAGGAATGAGACCCAGAGAACATCTACTTTGCTAAAAAACTATCCTTTCTGTTTTTCTATTATGGAATTGCTCAGAAAGAATTAAGATCACCCCCAAAAGAAATTCAGAAATGAGGCTCAAAATTATATTATTCAGCATTATATAAGTAGTAAGTGGTGGTGTGGGAATTCACATCAGAATCATTGACTGTAAACCTTCTGTTCTTCCCACAGAGCTCCACAGTCCAAATGCCTTTTGAATAAAATTGGTTGACTATTTCAGTGTAACTTTACAGTTGCTATTATTAAATCATTGTTTCCATTTGGCTTTTAGATCCCAATTGTAGAATCAGAAATAAAGAAAGAAGCTGGCGAGTTAAAGCCAGAAGAAGAAATAACTGTTGGGCCCGTTCAGAAATTGGTTACAGAGATGGGCACCTATGCTACTCAGAGTGCACTCAGCAGTTCCAGGCCTACCAAGAAAGAAGAAGACAGGTAACAGCTTCTGCACCCTGCTGGCTGAACTGTTATACTGTTCCTCTTGTGGTAAAGTAGCTATGTGGTTTCTTTCTCTTACTAGTTTTTGATGCTTAAGTGAAAGTATTTGCCATTTAAAGTCTTGAAATAAGGTATGTGTGTAAAGGTTCCCTGTGAATTTTCTCTGTAATTTTAGTCTTTTGTTCCTACTGTTCCCACTGAAGTAAATATTCTTATAAAACTTACTTCACTCACATAGGAAATGCTGTGTTTATATTTAAGTCTGATTGCTTGTTACTATCAAAAAGATATTTTGAAGTTCCCCCTTTTTCTTTTCTTTCTTTCCTTTATTATACGTTTCTCTCTTGGACTAGAACTCAGAGCTGCTCACATGCTGGGTTAGTGCTCTGCCACTGGAACTACAGTCTCAGTACAAATTGTCCAGTTCTAATTAATAACATAACATTTCAGGTTTTTTACCTCTCTATTTTGCTGTCTGTGTTTATAAGATGAGAAAAATGATGGTACAGTGTTCTTGAACACTTCTTATGTACCGGAAGCCACACTAAATAGTTGATGTCATAGTCTTGACAGCAGCCCTTTGAAAGAGAGAGTATACTGTCTTCATTTTCAAGAAGAGGAATTTCAGACCTAGACAACCTGTAAGCAACACTGTGGAAAAGTACATAAGCTGTCACTTGGAAGTAGCATATTACCTCCAGTACATCTGTCCTTAGTTAAACATCCTTTTCTTTCTGTTCTTTGGACTGTTGAGTTATTTAAGAAAAGTATTAGTTACATATTCTTTTTCATTTTGAAAACTAATGAGGAATTTAACTGAGGTCCTTATCACCAAACACAAAATAAGTAGCTTACCTGAGTCAGGCTGGAGAGCTGGCTCAGCAGTTAAGAGTACTGACTGCTCTGCCAGAGGTCCTGAGTTCAATTCCCAGCAACCACATGGTGGCTCACACCATCTGTAATGGGATCCAATGCACTCTTCTAGTATGTGACTGAAGATAGCTGCAGTGTACTCATATAAATAAAAAATATATAAATCTTTAAAAAAAAAAAAGGATTTGTGGTATTTCATGTTTGTTGATTCCTTTGCAGACCACCCTTGAGAGGATTCCTCCTGGATGGAGATTTCTTTGTTGCTGCCTCCCTTGCCACAACTCTGACTAAGATTGCATTACGCTATGTAGCATTGGTTCAGGAGAAGAAAAAGCAAAACGTATGTTTATTTATTCTGTATTTGCCTAGTCATTGATTACTAAATGTCTACTCTGTTGAACAGTGAAAAACTTAAAAGTTAATGCTAAAGGCCATGTCATAAAAGAGCTTGTGGTTTAGTACAGGAGACAGACTCAGTAGTGTGACCTGACTAAAAAAATGATACAGAGATAGAGAAATGATGTGATTACTCTGACGAAGGTGGTGTGAGGGGTTATGAAGTCGCTTCTGTAGGCTGGGGTGAGTCTTCAGCCAATGAAAGCAATGGCCTTTTCTCAGTAGCATTGTTTTGTTGTTGCCTATTTTATTTTAAAATGTCTCTGAAATAGTTCCTGTCTGTAGTTGGAACCTAATTACAATTTCTGACAGTTCAGAATATAGTCTCATTTACAGTAGTGTGTTTCCATTCTTCCAAGCTTCACCAGCCCATACTTGTAAATTCTAGCATTTACAGGGCTTTGTCAGGAAAATCTGTGTTTGAAGCCAGCCTGAACTACATAATGAGATTTTGTCTCAGGAAAAGAAGAAAAATGTAAGCATCCCTTTTCCAGTATTCTTTCTAATGTCTGGATCAAGACGAAAAGTGACCAGATATTAAAAATTGGGAACAAGACAAAGTTAAAGCACCTGCCAGAGTACTTTTTCCTGAATTTAAAAATTGTGCTAAAAAGAATACATAGCCTGAAGTTTACCATTTTAACAATTTTTAATTGTGCAGTTAAGTGGCATTAAGAATATTCACATGGCTACCATCCCTCCCAGTGCTTTTGGTATTACAAAAAATGTACACAGTAAATTTGTACACAGTAAACAGTAGCTCCTCTGCCTGCCTTCCTGCCCCTAGTCCCTCTTAACATTTATTATACTTAATTTTTTTAAATAGCGTGTATATGTGTGTGCATGTGTGTGGTGTTTGAGAGGATGCACCTGTGTGTACCTTGACATAGATGTGGAGGTCAAAGGACAACCTCAAGTATCAGGTAGGACCTTTCTTGTTGTTTACCATTGTGGGTTAGCTGGCCTGCAGCCTTCAAAGGGATTCTTGTATCTCTATCTGTCAATTCCCTGAAGGAGTGCTAGGATTAGACATGTACCACTGTGTCCAGCTTTTCAAATGGGGTCTGAAGATCCACATTGAGGTTGCTTACAAAACCATCTCAGCTGTCTTATTCTAGGTGCTGTGTTTAAATGAAATCATGCAGGCCCTATTTTTTTGGGTATTTCACTTGCCATAGTATCTTCATACTCTATCAGAATTCCTTTTAAAAGGCTGAGTAATAGTACAGTGTGTGTGTGTGTGTGTGTGTGTGTGTGTGTGTGTGTGTGTGTGTACATTCTCTTTACATTTTGTCGTGAATAACAGTTAATTATCTGAGCTGAGCATGGTGGCAGCTGCCTTTAATCCCAGCTACCTGAGAGCAGATAGAGGCAGGAGAATCAGGAATTCCAGATCATTTTCAGCTAGAGAGAGAGTTTGAAATCAGCCTGAGCTACAAGAGGCCCTGTCTCCAACCTAAAAAATTAGTTATTTTTAATTTTCCTATGCATTTATCACCTGATATTTTCTTTTTTTTTAAGATTTATTTATTTTTATTTATATGAGTACACTGTAGCTGTTTTCAGACACACCAGAAGAGTACATCAGACCCCATTACAAGTGATTGTGAGCCACCATGTGGTTGCTGGGAATTGAACTCATAACCTCTTGAAGAATAGTCAGTGCTCTTAACCGCTGAGCCATCTCTCTAGCCCCATGATTTTTTCTTTTTGTTTAAGTAATTTGATTATTCTCACAAGTCATTTGGTAAGCAGTTCTTTAAGAACCAAGTGTATTGATATATGCCTGTAATCCAAGCACTTAGAGGCAGAATTGTAAGACTGAGGGAAGCTAGATTGATGTGTCACACAGCAAGACCTTGTCTGGGAACAAAAATTGAGTGTGTGTGTGTGTGTGTGTGTGTGTGTATGTGTGTATGTGTGTGTAAGAAAAACAGAGCTCCCAGCACTTACTTACCTAAAACTATTTTTCTTTTACTTGGAAAAAATAAATTATCTTCCTGATCTGATGAAGATAAACACGGAACATTATAAGAGAATGTAGCTTGCTGGTAAAGAACTAGTTAACATTACATAATGCCCTGGTTTTGCTCCTCAGCACCACTAAAAATAAATAAATAAACTTGAGTAGAGTCACTTATGATTATAACACTTAACTACAAACTTTGTTTATGTTGTAGGGAAGATAGAAAATTGAAAGATGGGATTGTGGAAACCTTCTAGAGTTTGAAATAGCTAGTATCTGTCTTAATACTTTTTTTTAACAACTGGAACAAAATAGTTTTGTACTTTATAAAGTACATTTTCCCTCAGCATGTAACAAATACTTCCCCATGTTTTTATAAACCCTTCCTAGTTGTATTTACAATATTTAATTGCTTTGAAATTTAAACATCCAACTGTTTTTATCTTAAGAGTGCAAATTGATTTTCTCATGATTGGTTGCATACTTTTAAATGATAGGAGAATGTTTGTTGCTATCAGTTTAAGGAGCCAGATTTTTTGCAGTGTCTAGTTAATACACTTAGCTGTGCTTCGTACAGTGGTGGACCCTTTTTTTTTCTGTCCCTTCAGCATGCCTCTATTTGTGCCATTTCCCTCTCTTCATTCCCTGTGTGGATAGGAGTGTCCTTGAATCAGATCTTATGCCTAAAGAATGCATTTACTTGAATTGTGACGTAGGTCTGAACACAGGTCCTCACACTTGTGTTGCAAGAGTTCTACCAGTTGTGTCATCTTCTTCCACCCCTTTAGCTTAGAATTTTGAAAGATGTTTTTGTAAAACTTGAGTTCTCAGTTGGCATTGTTATCTTCCAGCACTGTAAAGGTGTAGTTCCCATTGTCTTCTGCCTTCCTAGTAAGAAATCTGTCACTCCTCTGCCTGTCCATGGCTGGTTTTATATTCTTCTTCTTTTTTTTTTTTAAAGGTTTATTTATTTTATGTGAGTACATTGTCACTGTCTTCAGACACACCAGAAGAGGGCATTAGATCTCATTACAGATGGTTGTCAGCCACTATGTGGTTTCTGGGAATTGAACTCAGGACCTCTAGAAGAGCAGTCGGTGCTCTTAACCACTGAGCCATCTCTCCAACCCTGTATTCTTCTTCTTATCATGGGTTTCAGCAGTTTGATTTGTCCGTGGCTCAATGAGGTTTTCTTCATGTTTCCTCTGTGCTTCATTGAGCTTTGAAGGTCTAAGGTTTACAGTTCATGTAGATTCAGGAAATTTCTGTTCATAGTTTTTTCAGACATTGCTTTTAACAATTCTACCTGTCTTCCCTCTCCTTCTGAAGGCAAGGTACAACCTTGAAGACTTACACCTATTTCTCTGCTAGTTCTTCCTCTGGCCTCCGGTAGTTTTTCATGTGTGGACCTAAGTCAGTCCTCAGCTAAGGATAGTTGGTCAAGGGCATAGAGCATCTATCTGTGGCATGATAGTGTATATGAGATTCAAAATATAAGATGGAATTCGCTTCTGCTTTTTAATCATAGCCCTGATAATACAGATTTCATTATGAAGTCTGAGGAAAAATCATTGAAGATTGCAGTATAAAAATGAAGATAGCCTAACATGGCTGTACTTACCATTGCCATGGATGACACAGCCTTACGTGATGCGCCTCCCAATGCAGTCGAGTCAGGAACGTTAAACAGCACCTGCTCTGAATTCCAGCCAAGAGTAATGCGCATTCTGATGGGGTTTTTTTGTTTAATTTATGTGTATGTATGTGTGCCTGCTAATCTTTATTTGTACTATTTGCATACAATGCTCACAGGGTCCAGAACAGGCATCAGATCCCCTGAAACAAGAGTTTCAAGTGGTTGTGGACCTGTGAGTCTAACCAGGGATCTGTGTAAGAGCAGCAAGTGCTCTTAACCACTGAGCCATCTCTTTATCTTGGCTCTTAAAAAATAAAATCGTGTATGATTAAAAACAGACAAAAAAGCCAGGAGGTGGTGAGTCACACCCTTTATCCCAGCCCTCAGTATTAATCCCAGCATCAGGACACAGGCCCAGATGGATCTCTGTAAGTTCGAGGCTGCCTGATCTACACGGGGAGTTCCAGGACAGCCAGAGGAACTATACAGTGAACAATGTGCTTCAGCAACTGTTGATCTCTTAGCCATATCTGCTTTCTGCGTGTTCACTTTCCTGTGAGCACATGCATGTGGAAGCAGAGGTCAACCTTGCTTTTTAAGACAGGACCTTACTCTGGGACTTGAGGTTCAGTGAGATTATTTGGTTTTTGAAAAACCAAAGAAACAAAACAGACAAAAACAAACAGCAAACAGGTCTAGTTTAAAAGACACTGAGGAGGATGGTAGCTGATAAAATGTGAAAACTGATCCTGGGTTTTAAAGTAAAATAAAAACATTTTGAGGTGATTTAGGAAGTTTTATTTGAATTCAAAGTATAGCACATATATTTGGGGATTGTTCAATTTCTCAAGTAAGAAATCTGTACTTTTGGTTTTATATTAAATTGTACTCATTTTTAGTAAATAGTTGCTAATATATTTATGAAGAGAGGAATCTTGTTTTTACATGGCCAGCCAAAGTATATGAGTTAATAAGAAAGCAAATAGGAAGGTCAGTAAAGTGTACAATCTTGAGACCAAAATCTTACACTCTTGAGAACCTGTCCCTAGCACCCATATAGAAAGTCAGGTGCAGTGCAAGCTTGAAATCTGAGTGGAAGCAAAGACAGAAGTATCTCTGGGGCTTGTTGTCCAAGTAAACTAGCCTAATCTCACTGAACCTCAAGTCCCAGAGTAAGGTCCTGTCTCAAAAAGCAAGGTTGACCTCTGCTTCCACATGCATGTGCTCACAGGAAAGTGAACACGCAGAAAGCAGATATGGCTAAGAGATCAACAGTTGCTGAAGCACATTGTTCTTTCAGTTTTTCTGGTGGATTTAAAGAGAAAACCATTAAAAGTCCTTGCTACTTTTCAACCAAGGGTCAGTGAAGCCTTAGAAGGCTGACAGAACAAAACAGGAAGAAGGGTGTGGAAATATCTAGGGAAGTAAAATATGAACAGTTTGTTTAATTCAGGTGCATTCTGGAATTATCTGTTAGTTGTATTTGTGTAACTTTACTACAATTGGAGAATCATAGCAATAACCGTTTCTCTGCTTTTGCAGTCTTTTGTTGCTGAGGCTATGTTGCTTATGGCAACTATCCTTCATTTGGGAAAATCCTCTCTTCCTAAGAAGCCAATTACTGATGATGATGTAGACCGAATTTCTCTGTGCCTCAAGGTCTTATCTGAATGCTCACCTTTGATGAATGACATTTTTAATAAGGAGTGCAGACAGTCTCTTTCCCAGATGTTGTCTGCCAAACTCGAAGAAGAGAAACTATCTCAAAAGGTAAGGTATATATGGAAAGTCTATAGAGAGCTTTATAGGTTGGGATTTTTTCCTTCTTAATTTTGTTGGTTTTTCAATCTCTGTTTAAGTCTGTCCCTGTGAAAAATTTATGAAAAGTTATTGTTCTCTTCATACAAAAAGACATGTGCATTGCTCTTTCAACACAGAAAGAATCTGAAAAGAGGAATGTAACAGTACAACCTGATGACCCCATTTCCTTCATGCAACTAACTGCTAAGAATGAAATGAACTGCAAGGAAGATCAGTTCCAGCTGAGTTTGTTGGCAGCAATGGGTAATACTCAGAGGAAAGAGGCAGCAGATCCCCTAGCATCCAAACTTAACAAGGTAACAGTATCAGATATGTGACTTGTTTGTTGTTTTTCCTTTTTAGGTGGGGTCTCACTGTGTAGTCCTTGCTGATCTGGAACTCACTGTTTAGACCAAGCTTGTCTCAAACTCATAGAGATCTGCTGACCTCTCTCCCAGGAGCTGAGACTAAAGGCTTGTGCCACCACATCCAGTTGAAAATTTATTTAAATTGGCTACTTACAAATAAGTGACCAGTCCTGCTGTGCATATGTGATTTTTTTTTTGGTTATTTTAATTAAATAACTAGTTACATAGAGTTGAGTACATGGGAGCTTGTGTGTGCATGTATGTATGTCTGTGCTCTTTATGATAGCACACAAACACTGTACCACTGAGCGATACCTCCAGTCCTTGAATCAGTTTTTACCCAATCCTTGTGATATTTAGGTCCATGAAACTTCATTTGAACCACACATGGTAGTACACATCTATAATCTCAGCACTTACAGAAAGATTACAAAGCTAAGGGCAGTCTAGGCTACCCAGTTAAAAAAAGAAAAAGACTATATAAGCTAGCTATCTGTCACCTGTCAGGTGAGTGAACAGTCTCAAGTTGATTTGACCATTACAGATAAAAGTCAGTAACAGAATCAGAACTACTAAAGCATTTTTTTTTTTTTTCAAAACTGAGAATTGGCATTTGGGAAGCTGAGGCAGCAAGACCACACGTTTTAGGCCAGCCTAGGCTCCATAACCTTGCTTCAAAAAACAACAAATTCAAACTTGTTAGCAACAATTTTACACTTATGGTTTTTAGATTTCTCTTTTAATTGTGATAAAAATTACAGAACATAAAATTTACTGTTTTAATCTGGTCTTGTTTTGCTTCATTCACTGCTGAGACTTGAACCCAGGACTCTGCTAGGAATTGCACTCTGCTGTTGAGCTCCCTTGCGTTGGTAGATTACTGGAGTTTCGTAAGTGCAACCATCTCTAGACCGTCTCCATCTCACGAAGCTGAACTCTACACCCATTAAACAGTAACGCCCCTTCCCGTTTCCTGCTGCTCCTGACAGCTACCAGACCATTTTCCCTTTCCGATTTTGACTACTTCTGCTCATACAAGTGGAATCACTGCTTTTGTTCTTTTTGACTGGAATTTTCTACTAAGTATAAAATAATGTTTTCACTATCCAGCATGTTTACAGCATATAAACAAAATTTTCTTTACTTTAAAAAAATTATTCTTGCCAGGCGGTGGTGGCGCACGCCTTTAGTCCCAGCACTTGGGAAGCAGAGGCAGGTGGATTTCTAAGTTCGAGGCCAGCCTGGTCCAGGACTACACAGAGAAACCCTGTCTCGAAAAAAACCAAAAAAAAAAAATCATTCTTAACATTTATGTATTTGGTGGTTGGGGAGTATACTCTATGGGTGGAGCTCAGATTGTCAATCTTGGCAGCAAGTATATTAACCTACTGAGCCACCACATGTGTTTGAGGTCAGACACAGCTTAACAGGATTTGGTTCTCCTGCCCGGTGGATCCTGGTATTGGACTCATCAGCCTAAGTTGTTCCATTCTTTGATTATGTCTGTTTTTGTTTTGACAGGTCACTCAGTTGACAGGTTTCTCTGATCCAGTGTATGCAGAAGCTTATGTTCATGTCAATCAGTATGATATTGTCCTGGATGTTCTTGTTGTAAACCAAACCAGTGATACTTTGCAGAACTGCACATTAGAGTTGGCTACTCTAGGTGAGAAAATTTATCCTAAGGAAAGGTTTTAATGTAATAAATCTTCATGATGAATTACTAAGAAAGGGTCATACCTTTCAGTATAAAGATCCTTTTGAGAACTTTTTAACATTGTTTATAATCAAGGCTTAGTTTACAGTTTAAAATTAGTCTCTTTTAAACTACCAGTTTTCTGAACCTTTGTCATACTGACTGACTTATGCTTCTTACGTGACTCAAGTGGGTTCAATTCTGAGTTTGATACAATAACTGTTTGAATTTGTGGAGTGCTTACCTACCATGCATAAGGCTTTGGGTTCAATCTCCAGTACCACATTCACCCAGCATGGTAGTCTGTGTTTTTACTCCCATCACGTCAGGGAGACAGGGATTTCAGGAGTTCAAGGTCACTCTCAATCACACAACCAATTCCAAACCATTCTAGTCTACACAATACCCTGTCTCAAATAAATAAAAACACATTTACTAAGTAGTTCACTTAGTTAAAATTTAAATTGCCTTGGCAGAAAATTAAGTATTTTCTGTTCCCTGCCACATGGGGCCAAAGCAATACATCATTATTAGCATTTTTCAACATGAATTTTTTTCTTGATAAAGATATAGATTCTGTAACCATGTGTACATCTGGTTTTGAAAATGCAAAATATGTATAGTGTATAGAACAGTATAGTGCCTCCAGGTATGGTTTATGCAATAGTTAAGGGACAATAGGTTTTTAGAGAAATTATGCTTTGCCCTATCTTTAGTGAGCCATATCTTAAAGAGTGTACAGGTATTTTGAAGGATATCTTACTCCTTGGTAATGGTATATATAGTTTTAAGTTTTTTGAGTTCATAATCATTCATTGAAATAAAAATGATATATTTGCCGGGAGGTGGTGGCGCACGCCTTTAATCCCAGCACTTGGGAGGCAGAGGCAGGCAGATTTCTGAGTTTGAGGCCAGCCTGGTCTACAGAGTGAGTTCCAGGACAGCCAGGGCTACACAGAGAAACCCTGTCTCGAAAAACCAAAAAAAAAAAAGATATACTCAAAGTACTCCTCCCACTCATGACTATAGTTATTATGTGTAGAATACAGAGTTATACATATTATCTTTTAATAAAGGTTGTGATTAATATGATTGCCAAGAATATTAGATGATTTCCTTATTTTTTTATTGTTTGAATTATATACTTCTCATTTCTTTAATTTTTCTAGAAACTGTTAACTTGTATACATTCTAATTCTGTTTTATGGTTAACAAATGTGTTTTTAACTATATCCAAATTCCTTTTTATTTTCTCCTAGGGGATCTGAAACTTGTGGAAAAACCGTCTCCTTTGACTCTTGCTCCTCATGACTTTGCAAATATTAAAGCTAATGTCAAGGTAGCATCAACAGAAAATGGAATCATTTTTGGCAATATAGGTATGGTTTTGTTTTATGGCATGCGATAGTTGAGTGTTTTTTATTAAAGAATTTGATAGTATACTGCTGTGTACGTGGCTTGTGGGCAGAACATGAATCCATTTATTTATAGGGTACTCTCTATGGTAACCAAACATTGTATTATGTTTTAGATACTACCAGACTGAGCTAGATGGAGGAGTCATAGTCCTCAAGAAACCACTAGGCAAACATTTATACTGGTCATAAAAGTTCATACAAGCCCTTGTGGCGAAGCACACAGGAGTATTTCAGACATTGAAATAAGCTTTTACAGAAGCATTCAGTCAGTATTTTCTAGCAATTTCTGTTATAGAGATAGACTACCATAGTAAGGAACAACAGATCTGTCTTAAGATGACTGAGGTCAAGTAAGGGAAAACAGATATGCAAAATAAGTATTTCCATACATAATGCTGAGTGTTATGAAAGAAGCCTGTATGAGAAGCAGTGTGAGTCCATGAAGGATTGGTCAGTTCTCAGAGTGTTGTAAGGGACTGGAAAGTTAGGAAAGGCTTTACAGCTCATGTTGAGTTGGATTTTAAACAATCAGTAAGTAATCCACAGATGATTAGAGTTCAGGCAGAGCAAATGGACATAGATTGATGTGCCGAGCAGTTAGAGTGAAAAGTAAACTAGGAAGTCGGGGAAGCTGACCCTGCTTGCCCTGTGAAAGAGTTGAGCACTTATCCATGAAATAGGAAGACACTGGAGGATGACAAATGAGATAAATGGTTAAATATTTCTGTGACAACAGTACAAATGATAACTCTGTAGAAGATATGGAAGATTGCCTGAGTAGGCTATTGCAGAAACCAAGTGAGAGGGGAGAGGCCTAAACTGACAGAGCAGTGCTTAGAGTAGAAAGGAGAGGGGGTGGGAGAGTGCTTTAGGGGACTATACACTAAAAGAAGGTAGTTTTGGTAACTCTGTTTTCTCTAAAAGTAGAAAGAGAACTTAAGCCCTTATCAGAGTATAACTTCAATTCTAGATAATTTTTGTTTTAGGGGTAGGGGGTGGGGTGGAGAGGTACCTGAGCCTAAGTCCTGAGTCTTAAGTCCTATCACTTATCAGTTCTGAAACCTAAAGTAACTTATTTGACTTACCTGCTTTTCCTAATCTGTGGGATGAAAAATTGTAAGGTAGAGTTGATGGCACTATTCAGTTGGTACTATTTATAAAGCAGTTAGAATCTAGTATATTTAAATATTTGCTAATATCAAAAATATTTGTTATTTTGGACTAACATCTACCCTTTGGGGATCTTTCTGTATGTTCATTACAGTCTATGATGTCTCTGGAGCGGCAAGTGACAGGAACTGTGTGGTCCTCAGTGACATCCATATTGACATTATGGACTATATCCAGCCTGCAACTTGCACTGATGCCGAGTTCCGTCAGATGTGGGCTGAATTTGAATGGGAAAATAAAGTTAGTCATTGAGAGGTTCCCTATACCTATCTTATGACTAATGATGAGGATTTTTTTTTTAAGTAATTCCCCCTAAAAAGCATCAGAAGTGAAAAGCAGACAGTTCTTCATTATCTGTTACTGTGGATTATCTTAACTAGAAACCATACAAGTACTTTAGTAATTCCTTGTGGGGAATTAAATAGAATGGCTGTTCTTTCTGGAATTTTGTGATAGTGTCTTGCTCTCTGGCCTAGTCAAGTCTCCAGTGCCTCACCCTCCACCCATGTCATCTTGGCACAGACACTACCAGTGGCACCACACCTAGCTAGTCATAACTGTGTAACTGCTTTGGTTAGGACAGTGTAGACAAGATTCCTCCTTTTCTGTGTCCGGACAATAATCTACCATTGGCTCTTGTATCCCCAAGGCTGTGCAAAGTCTATGGCCCAGTGGGAAACTTTGTCCCTTGAGTTTTACTTGAACTCTGAATTTCCTTGATGGTCTAGTGAAGTGTCTATGTCTGAAAGCAGTGCTGATGCCAGTTGGTTTCATAGGAGTCATTTACTTTTTTTATTGCCCACTCTTTGCCTCCATAGTTGAAAAAAAGTTATAGGATAAAATGGCGGTAATGTACTTTCACTGTAAAGTTCACTGAGTCTTCTTCTCTGCAGGTAACAGTTAACACCAACATGACTGACCTGAATGACTATTTACAGCACATCCTCAAGTCAACCAACATGAAGTGCCTGACTCCAGAAAAGGTAGAAGGAGACTAGAAAAGGCTAAAGTCTATAAAAAAAACTAATACAGTAGAAGTCTATATCTTTTCCAGTTTCCTCTGCTGTGTTTCTATAATAATTCATCATGGGAAAACAGTGTTGCTCTGGAATAGAGTAATTACCCACAAGCTGTTTGACCTGCTCACTTCTTTTCTGAACTGTATTTTCCCACTTGCTCATGGTTATATGACTTAACTGGAACAGTCATACTAGTTGGGTTTCTTTAGTTTTAGTTTTTTGTCTTCTCCACCTTTCAGATAAGAGACTTTATTCCAAAACCATTTATTTATTTGTGATACTGGATTAGTAAATGCCCTCCCTCATCAGCTAATTGTAAGTCAGAATAAATCTCTAATACAGTGGCTTTCTGCTATGTCTACATGCAAAAGGCTAGAACAAAGACGAAATTGAATCTCTATTTTTCTTTAGAAAATTAGTTAATGCCATAATGTGCGCCTTACTAATACGAGAATGGCAACTATCATCTGGGTGTGTCGCTTAGTGATAGAATGCTTGCTTAGCATCCAACACATACACACACACACACACACACACACACGGGTAGGGTGGGTTGGGGTGGGGTGGGGAACATGTTTACTGCCAAACAAGTAGATTTCATATATTCATTTCTTAACAATTTCTAAGTCCAACAGAAGAAGTCTTTATGGAAATTAAAAGCCTGGTACAGGAGACAAATAAGTAAATAAGAACAGAATATGTAAATATAGAATAAGTACTCTCTTCAAAGTTATTTTTATTAAGTATAATATACACAGGGAATTCTTAAATTTTTACACATATATTTGTTTTGAGTTTTGGCAAAATCATTATTTCTTATACCCAGTACCACATAAGTAAAGTTTTAAATAATAGTTTGTATGTATATTTGAGTTTTCCAAGGTACACTTCTCTATCAAAGTATTGAATTTATCACACATTTTTTTTTCCAGGCCCTTTCTGGCTACTGTGGCTTCATGGCAGCCAATCTGTATGCTCGTTCTATATTTGGAGAGGATGCACTTGCAAATGTCAGCATTGAGAAGCCAGTACACCAGGGACCAGATGCCGCCGTTACTGGCCATATAAGAATTCGTGCAAAAAGTCAGGTAATAATGTCATTTTTTGAGAACATCTCTGTACCAAATAAAGGGAGGAAGAATTCATGTCTGTCTTATTTCTGTGATTTAATTTCTTCTGTAGTAATTATGTTTTATGCTTGAGATATATACATACATACATACATACATACATACACACACACACACACATTCATAGTATTTTCTGAACATTAATTCATTTAAAATAGCTTATTCTACAATACTGCCTAAAACATTGATTCCTGTGTGATGTTTGGGAAACAGATTCTGTAGAGGTTTGGTTTTTTGTTTTTGTTTTTGTTTTTTATAGATATGGATAAATAAATCTAGCACTAACCAACATCCCTAAAATCAACCCAGTAAAAGTTTTTGGAATCTGTTTTTATATCCTTTCTCTTGTTGTTGAATGTGATATCATCCAATGGAGACGTAGTTAAGCTGGTATAACCTACTATTTGGGCATTGTTTCAGTAATTACTTCTTTGTTGAGTCTGGGGATATAACTCAGTCTTGGGAATGCTTTCCTAACATGTTTAGACTATGAGTTAATCCCCAACATCACAAAAATGAGATAAAAATATGAACATTTTCATTCTTCTTTACAGGGAATGGCCTTGAGCCTTGGAGATAAAATCAACCTGTCTCAAAAGAAGACTAGTCTATAAGAATGAACAAAAGGTCCTTGCAAGTTTGTGGTTAAAATTTAGGTGTGGGCTGATTGGACTTCAACATCTTTTGTACTCTTTTCATGCTTTATGTTTGTAGAATTTGAGGTCATGCTGAATGCATTCCAGCCAGTAATTTATAGCCTTTCCCCTAAATCAAGAATGAGTTTAAAATTATAGTTTGTCTTTTATCTTAACAGTTCTGAATGCTGTCCTCAAAGTATATAATGTTTCTCATATGTACCAAGACCATTTTCACAATAAACAGATCTGTTCATAAATTTTTGTTATTTTATAAATAAATTACTTAATTTTAGATTTGTATCAGTGGGATTTTTTTAACTTGTCTATATTTATGAAGAAAGCTTAACACAGTCAGTGATCTAAAATGGAACAGGTACTGGTTAGTGCATTATTGTTTCCTCATTTTCTGTAATGACATCAGTGTCTCTAAAACCCCAGGGTCTTTTCTCACACTTTGCTTCAGGGAGAAAGTATCCAAATTACTTGAGAAAAGGTTCATCTGACTGACATCAGCATACTGTTCTTGATGATCATGAATTATGATGGAAATTAGATCATCTAAAATCAATTTGAAAAAGTCGTGTATATTTAGCATTGAGTATTTCTGCTTGTTAGTAATTACAGTGGTTCTAGCCAGTTATTGACTACAGGAGGATTAGCTTTGGGGGAGTCAACAAGCTGTTCCATTTCCAAATGGCCTCTGTTTTTTATTTCTTCCCTCCTGTTTATAACTGTCCATCAGGCCGGGCAACACACGCACCTCGTTATAATTCCACTTGAGTTTGTGAATGCAGTTTCCCAGGCTATGCCAATCTTTGGGCTCTGTACTAGGAATGATTGAGATAGTTGAGTTTAGCTACATCTCAACTTAAGCTATTACTTTGGCTTTACTCCAGGGCTTCATCCTTCATTCCCCACGAGTCCATAGATAAGAGCTGGGACAAAAGGGAAATAACATCATCTGTTGTCAGTGAGAACAGAATGATTTGTTGGGTCTGTAAGAAGATTAATACTTTGTATGATGTCATAAATTTTGAAGCCACTTGCTGTTGTAGTCATCAAACCAGAGAATTACAGAACATTACCAGTCCTAGAGCACTGAGATCTTTAAATGCAGTCATAGCTGCCAACTGGGAGAGATACAAAGGACTGTGGGAAAGGAGTCATTTTGATACAGAGTCAAAGGGTGGAGATAACTTGATGAGAGTTGAGGAATGATTGCATTAGATCAGTTCCCACACTTTTTTTGAATATGGATTTCATTAAGTGACATTGGATATTCTGAAAGAAAAAGGATCCACAGCTAGTAATTTAGGGAATGCTGCATATAGTTCCTTACTAAAGAGTCACATAGTTCACATTAGCATACTAAAGATTTTGAGAGATCTTCAGTGAAGAAAGTGGAATATCTTAATCTTCCTTTGGCAGGGGATCCTTCACCATAGGACACCTGTTGACATTGCCTGCACAGCCATAGTCTCAAATTCACAGCCAGCTTGAAGTCTGAAGAAGTATGCATTAGGCTGTCCTAGAACACTTACTAATGTAGAGGGAGCAAGCCACAAGTAGAACTTAACTTTATTCCCAGTTCATTTCACAGTTTTTAAGCCAACTTTGCTGGAATCAAAATCTAGTACAGGCATCCTGGGCAGTAGGACTACAGGCTGTACCAGGGTCCCACCTCACATTGACGTCTTTATAACTCGTAAAGGAGGAAAAGAAGAAAAGAATGCAGTTGACTTGCCAGAAGTTAGAGACAACTGAGATGCAGGTAACCTCACTAGCTGTTCACCATCTTTGTACATGTAATAATTAGGAACCAAATTGCATGGCAGCACTTGTTTGGTCAAGTTGTTTATAGTGTCACCATTCAGTTTGGAAAGTAGTGTACATTCAAGGGCCATGGAAACTCACAATAGATAATACAGTATAATTACAATTACAGTGTCTCATAAGAAAATAAACACTACCTACAGCAACTACAGGCTTAAAAGCCTACTGTATAGACCTAGAAATGTTTCATAATGTCTTGACACTAGAGGGAGCTCTGTGCAATTATTTTCATTTGAGGATTAGATAAAATTTGTGTTAAAACTTATCTAAAGCCGGGCAGTGGTGGCGCACGCCTTTAATCCCAGCACTTGGGAGGCAGAGGCAGGCGGATTTCTGAGTTCGAGGCCAGCCTGGTCTACAGAGTGAGTTCCAGGACAGCCAGGACTACACTACACAGAGAAACCCTGTCTCGAAAAACCAAAAAAAAAAAAAAAAAAGTTATCTAAAAGAGGAAAAGACAAGGTGATTTTATTACCAAGTTGATTCATAAAAAGAACAAAGAAAAGTTAATACAGCTGTCACAGTAAGCAGATTGCTCATGTTGGTGATAGAATGATTATGTTGTTATTAAAATAACTACTGCACCTTACTGCTAAAAACACCTCCTACCCCAGTGCACACCTGTACTCAGAAGACAGGAGGACTGTGGGCTTGAGATTACTTTGGGCTATATAATAAGACAATTGGAAAATGTAAACCAAGATGCTTAGTTGCCAAAATTAATAGAAATGTTTTGCTACCTGTCAAACATTTCCATATGATTTAGAAATAATGTGAGAGACAAAAACTTATACAGAACATGTGAAAAGTCCACAAGCTAAAAAATATGTTTAAAAAATCAAGGGATAATAAGATGGCTGAAGGGTGAAGATGCCTCTTGCTAAGCCTGACAACCTGATTTTGATCCCTGGGGAATCCATATTGTAGAAGGTGGTACCTATTCCTACAAGTTGGTCCCACACACATACAAATAAAATGTCATTTTAAAAAGCTCAGTAGTAGATGTGAAATGCAGTAAAGTAAGTTTTACTGCTTGCTTGTTTTTTTCCACACTAATAAGTATTCTAATCAGTAATGTATAGCTTTTCTCTTAAATCAAGATTGAATGCTAGAGATATGGATTAGCGGGTAAACTGGTTCTTATCTAACCATAAAGATTTGAGTTCAGATCTCAAAAACGTATGTCAAAAAGGGAGGTACTCAGCAGCACACATCTGTTCCCCCAGTGTGGGCAGTGAAGATGAGTGGATCCTATGGACTCACTGGCTAGCCATTCAGCTGAACTGCAAACTCTAAGTTCAGTGAAAACTACTTGTCCCAAAAAATAAGGTAGAACTGGCCTTGGAGGCACATGCCTTTAATCCTGATATTCAGGAGGCAGAGGCAGGAGGTCTTGTTCAAGGCCAGCCTGGTCTATGTAGTGAGTTCAGGCCAACCAAGGGGGCTACATAGTGAGACCCTGTCTCAATAAAGAAAAGGCTAGAGGAGGAATCTCAACATTGGCCTCTAGTTTCTACATGCATATCTACAAACGAGTATAGACTCACATGCACACACACATACTAAACATGTGCGTAAGATTCAACTTAGTGATGGCTAAATTTCCTTCCCAAAACAGAAAAATGTTGCCACTTCCTCTAAGGCTAAGGGAACATCATGGAGAATGACAGAAAGACTAAGAACTGGAAATCAGGAGGAGGGCTGTGAAATCCTGTCTTCTGAACACAACATAGCCAATACGGTCACAACATCACAGCAGCTGTAGCCACCTGTAATGAACCCACACAAGACTGGACTGGTCAGCAAACAATAATGAGTCAGAGAGGTGTTCATGGGACACTACCCTTCCCTTCTGAGTTCTTGGCTGCTGATGGATTCTAGAGAAGAGACAAGTATTGCCTTAGTCATGTACCCACTGAGGAGAAATAGGATAAGGTAATTAGAGGAGGAGGTTATAATAAAAGTGCACTTTATAAATGAGTGATATCAAAGAATAAAATAAAGGGGTTAAAGGGAGATGGGACTCAAGGGATGTAACTCAGTGGTAGTGGTACGTGAGAAGGTCCTGGGTTTAATTCCTGGTCCCACCCACCAAGAAAAGGGTTGCACTAAAATTATAGTATCTTTTGTGATAAGGCAGGGCTGGTCAAACTGCTCACCTTACGGTCCTCTCCAGAATGGCAGTACATCACTAGTGTTTTCTTTCTCTCAAAGCTCTGTCTACCTCCAGATCTCAGGATCTAAAGAACCAACAGTGCGGTGCAACAGTGTGGTTCAGTCAGTTTGCTGCTACATAGAAAACCTTGTCTGCTTCTCATTTGCTGTGTGATCTTAAACAATCCTGAGGTGCTAACCTTGTGGCTAGGTGTACAACTAAGTGATAGAGCACCTGCCTAGCGTGCCGGGACCTTTGATCTCCAGCCCAAAGTAAGTAAAATAAACCCCAGCTACTAAGTACTTTATTTGTGTCAGGTGCAATGCTAAGTGCTTTTTCCCATGGCATCTATAGTCCTCATAATGACCCTGTGAGTGGAAACCAGTGTCACCATTTGCAGATTATCGCTACAGTCTTAGGAGAGGTTAAGCTACTTAAGGCCTAATAGAGATGAGCCCAGATATAAACCTGGGTACCTAGTAATTAATCTCATTATCCTTTCTACCTGTTCTTGTGCCTTATTCCTCACCTAGAGGGTGCTTGTGTCTACTTCCCAGAATTGATGAAGTGACGTAATGCATTTATAATACCGCAGTTCTTTAGTAACATATAGTAAACATTCACCAGGAAATGTTTGTTCCTTTCCTTCCCCATTCACCCTTCTTACAAAAAGAGAAAAACCAGCCCTCACTATCTTTACGCCTCTCTCAGAATTTAGTTCCTTGTTTTATATCCTACTTGTGTGCTTTTCTTGGTTGTTTTTACTTAAAAGAAGCTTTCTTTCCTTGAAAAGTCTTTGAGACATCATTGATCCTCAGCTTTATCGAATTGTTTGCATAAAACTCTTGGCCCTTCACTTATCAGGTTGTCTCAGTTAGATGTGTCTGTCTTCACTCATATTCCTAAGGATGGCCTCTAATAGGCAGACTTGATTTACTTGGCGAATGACAGTCACATGACTGGACCTTTATAAACATGCATCAGTTACAATAGCAGTGTGCGTCTGGGGATTTCTGATCATCTGATCACACCCTTCCTGTGTCCTCCATCTAGCCGTGGCAGCAGATCTTTATCTTTGATGGGACTTGTGCCATGCAGTGACAGGAGTGCAGGCAGGATTCATGTGTTTTCCCTGAGGTTCTACATGCTATGCAGGGTTCGAAGAAGACTCCAGTGCTTGCATCCTGAAATAAAAGTAAAGCCAGTAAGATGTACAGTGGCTTGCAGCATGGTGGACTGATATAGTCTTAAGGCTAATCCCAACTCTCTAAGTAGCTTTCTGAAAATAACATCCAGGCCTGTCT